AAGAGGAAGAACAATGAAAATGGTTCAAATAGATGCCAATGAAATCTTTCTCCCATCCTCAAATTCACAAATAAAGTAAGATAAGATAAAATAACATTATCACTTTCAAGAAATAAATAAAACTAATCAACAATATCAGCAGCCCATCAGGATGAGAAATTCCACTGACATCTTTAATACATCTGAAACCTTTCATAGCATCATACATACAATTGTTAAATCCTGTGATCATCTCATGGGATTAAAGATGAAATCTTGAAACTGAATGAAGATTATCCCAATCTAGTAGATTGTGACCCGCTTTATAGTAGACATTTTGAAATTTTATAGTTTCACATCAAATGTTTCCAATGCTAAGCTAGAACCAATAACTCTCTTTCTTATCACTCATCATACACAATTTACAGATTATGGGAATTGGAAAAACCTATGTTGCTCCAACTCTTCATTTTCCATGAAGTACCTATGTCTGGGACATGCCCATCGAATGTGGATTCAGAGGACCGACCCTTCAAATATAAAGAAAAACTTAGAAAAAATTCAACGTACCCATGTTGGACGCATACCCGTATCTGATACTCACCCCTGAGTCTGAGTAACACAGGGGTAAAAGAATAACATAACTATATTTTCCAGCAGAATGGCAATTGATACCAAACTCATGCAATTGGTCCTAACTGACAACAATTGAAAAAAGACATGGTAGTATTATTGGTTAAAGCATTCACATCCTTACAAGCCTATCTAGCTTGTAAAGTCAACCACATGTCTATTTTGCGGTTTTTTAAAGGCTGAATAGATCCTCTATCATGGAACCTACTCAAAAGTGTGCATGCTCTGTAGGAACAGAGCCATAGGCTATGTACGTTGGGAAGAAATTTACTCATAGAGAAACTTTTAGCTCCATGACCACTGTGCCAAAGAACAACAGCGCTGGACCAGTTTAGAACAAACAAGGAAACCTCATCCATTTACCAAAGGGAAACATTGTAGTCTAACAGCTATTAGTATCATACTAATGAACTATGCTATAGAAAATCAGAGCATGCTTCTACTATTCAAAACTACAATTTGAATGGCGACTTACCTTAAAATCAGGAAAAGAGAAAAAAAATTAAAATGCAAGGCACATTTTTATGAATCAGGGAAACCCATCAGTGAAAAGTAACATGCACCTAATTACTGACCAATCAAGCTATGGAAATTCTGTTCCTCCACAAGCTGAACATATTACTTGATAAACTGAAAAGCTTGAGCAACTCAGGACAGGATAGTAACTTTACTAGCAACAAAGAAGCACGTGATTGTTTAATGAATAACTTCAAGGGTCAGAATACTCTTAAATACTTAGGTTCCAAAGTTCCAAAATAATTGCCTCCAAAACCACTTGAACGTTAGAAAAGAAATTATAAAATAAACACCAAAACATGTCACCACAACACAATTAAAATGCCCATATAAAAAAACCACAATTAAAATGATATCATTTTGGTTGACATATATATGACAATAATGTGATCATAATGATGATGCTATGGGGGACTCCAAACCAAAAATGATGGTTGTACATGCGCGCATGAAGACTGCGAGAGGGAAGAAGTTTTCAACTCAGAAGTGCAAAGCCTATCCACTTTAAATACTGCTAAAGAGTAGGATTATTCCTGAATTACCCTTTCCAAGAGTCCAGTTTGCTGGAACTATAATGTGGTAAAGACTTTTATATGTAAGGATATGAAGTATTGGATAGGTCGCAGGGCAGATATTTCTTATGTTCCTTGGCAAGTTAATCAGAACTTACAAACTCACATATTGTTTGTGTTTGCATGTGTGCATGTGGAGAAGAACACAGAACTGCACTTGAGAAGCAAACTCACTCTTTTCTTGGACAATGTATCTATTGGGGACATAACTTCTGGCTGCACATAATTCTTCCCTCGATAGAATACTATGGTGTAATCACCAATTATCTGAACTGGGATTCCACCACTCAGTCTGGCAATTTCGTCAGCATACTCGTGTACTTGGCCGGGCTTACAGGGCTTGCAAATGACCTTAACAGTTTCATGTTTCTTCCAATGCATATGCATATTAAGAATAACCCCGCCAAATATTCCTCTTCTGCCAACTGGCACATAGTTGGACCTTTTCTGTGCCATTTTTCTCATATAGAACTGTTCTTCACCGGTAAGATGATGTGGTTCCACCACAGGCCCCTGAACTTTGGGAACTTCATAGCGCTTAAGTCTTTCAAGCAGCAACGCTTCCTTGATTTTGGCCTTGAGAAAACAGCATAACAAACCAAACACCATATGTTAGAGGGTTATGAGAATGAGAATTATCGAATAAACAAGGTAGAACAATTATATATATATATAAATATATATATTATATGCGTGTGTGTATATATGTATATATATAAAAGCAAAGGAACTAAATGAATAGATAAATGAAAAAGACAATAAGGTAGAACAATTTCAATTCTAGACTAATTAATTCATTAAACAATGAGAAAATCTCAAAACATAAACGAAGCCAACCAGTTTTCACATAAAAGATTCTAACAAAATGCAGTCAAATGATATGAAGGAAATTCTTTACAACATGAGATACAGTTAATGTTAGTTGTTTATAAGTCCCTTATATCCAATCCAACAAAACATACCTAGTAAGCTTTAAGTTTACATCAGAACATGCATATTTTAATCAAGCATTAATGCAATGAACCTGATTTTGCAAAGTATCATCAAACAGAACAGAGAAAACAGAATCACTTCAAAATGTAACAAAGATGATTTATCACAATCTAAGTGAAACATCTGTTATACCAATGTCGTTTATATATCTTAACCTTTGTTGCTCTGCCGTTTAAAAGCTACACCAATTGCTAGCAAAAGCAAGCAATTAAGCTACTCTTTGCTTATTACTTTTACTACCTTTTGGTTCTAGAAGCAAAAAGTAAAAAGTACATTCATACAAAAGCAAACTATATTTTTGAAGAATTAAAAATTTAAAAAGGTCATTTCTTTAAACAATAAAGGTACTTATCATAGTTTTATATGTATAACAATTATGTTAAAATAGATACTGCATTTAGTTATTTGTTCATTCTTTAATCAATCGTGTCCTGCTCTCCACCAATTGCTTTCATCATGTCAATTTTAAAGGAAACAGCAAAAAATAAATAACAAAAATAACAAGCAAATGGAGCCAGCCTAACTTGAAGGAAAAGAAAACAATGAAACTATGGTTACCTTCTCAAGCTTGTACTTAATCCTCTCCTCTGCATTAGCAAACTTCTTCTTCTTCTTCCTAGTGAGACCAAGCCGACGTGGGTCTCTCTTATTGGCAGCTTTCCTAATCGCTTTCTCTCTCTTCCTTTGCAACTTAAGCCTCTTCTTGGTCTTCCACTTCTCCTTCTTTGGAGGGTCAACTTGATGAGTTTCAAACTTGGGTTTTCCTTGTGATATCACCAGGCTTACTGTACCATGACTCAAGTTCCGCAAAACCCATGAAGGGGTTCTTGCGTTTGGTGGAACAATGACTTTTAATGGACAAAAAATTGGTACTTCATTTAGGAAAGTTGAGCTGAGGTTGAAGGAATGTGGAGTAATTGTATTCAAAAGTGAAGAAGCTCTTCGTAGGGTACGAAATAGAGCTTTTGCCATTCCTACAGTTACATCAGATATAGAGAAGAGAGAGAGGGGGGCAAATATCAATTTTTTTTTTGATAAACCCAGGAAAGCTCTAAAACTCCCAGAAATTAATGGGTTTTAATCTTACCCAGCAGCAACAAATGGTACGACCCGGCGCCAATTTGGAGTGGATTGGGCTTTGTCCCAAGAACAAAATGTAAGGCAAACAATATTTTCCAGCCCCATCATGTTATATATGTCCAGACCCGCCCCGCCAGGGCTAGGATATATCACAGTGGGAAGCCACCTCCGACCCGACCCGTACCCAGCCAGTGTTATAATTTTCTTTTGCCACATTATTCCACACAGGTAGAGAGAATGTAAAATATATAAGCTGATTTTCCATTAATAGAAGATAATAAAGAAAAGTCTTCACTTTCCCTCTCAAATCACTACCAAATTTAACTAAAATATAACAATTAAATTCAAGAAGCATAAGCTAATAAGCTAAAATTCAAACTTATCAGTTCATCAGCATACATATATGGAACAAAACAAACATAAGAGGCAAATGCAATTTACAAAGAACAAGGCAAACATCTAAACCACCACTACCAATTCGCAACTGCATCAATCTGTTCGGGGGCATTCCAAACGGAAAAAGATACACAAAGAATGGAAGCAGCACAGTTAATTTTTAAGCCTAATCAACAAAAGAAAGTTACATACAAATTGTGTACCAAAACAATGTGCGTGTTGAGCCGACAGATTCGAAGTGGAGAAGGAAGAAGGACGGACGACGGGACGGGGCAACTAAGGAGAAGAGAAGGTGTGGCTATTGGAGAAGAAACCGATTACAGAGTTGAAGAAATGGTTGGCACAACAAAGGAGCAAGCTTGATCGTCTGATAATTTACGGCGGGGCAGAAGAAGAGTGGAGGAGCGGCGGCGAGCTACGGTGGAGTGACAGGCTGATGGCAGAGTTTGGAATTGAAGGAGCGACTTCGGATTTTCGCGGTTGAGTTAGATGTGGCAAACGGGTAAAAACCATCGCGAAAAAGCGGGTCGGACTTTGGAGTCTTTTTGCCCCAACCAAACTCAAAGAGGTGATTAGCCGAGGCCAAGTCCACTCCTGCTAACACCTGTCAAAATACAATTGGCTTTTAAAAAACGTTTGACTTTATTTTGTATTTAATCCAATCTACTGTTGCCATGTCATCTCCTTTTGCGCCCGTATAATTCCCAACGCTGAACTTGCACCCCAAAGTCTCGCCCTTTTTTGATACCTAATCGATCATCACAATTTCATCTCCATTAAACGTTAAATTTTCGAGTAAGTTTTTTATTTTAATTCAATCTTATCGCTTGTTAATTACTATAAGTTTTGTATAATTTTTTTGAAAATTTTTTTATTAATTGTTCCATGCAAAGAGCCCATTATTGCAACATATTTTTGGATTATTTTTTCGTTTGATTTATTAATTCATTCTTTGTTTGTTTGTCGAGAAAATGTAGTTTTAAGTGAGAAACTGTAGGGTTTGAACTTTTGTTAGGTTTTATTTTGTTTTGTATTCTGGTAAATTTGATTGTTTCTTTTATTTCCCCCTTCTCTTTAAGAATGTAATTAGCAAGTAAATAATAGCATCAGGGCCTCGGATTGTAGAATTACTTGATGATTTCAAAAAAAAAATTTGTGTTTGGAATCTGTTTGGTGGATGAGAAAATAACGGAGAATTAAAGGGAAAAAAGAAAGAAAGACAGAGCAAATTTTGAATTCTCGAATTGACTTCAACTAGGACTTCAAAATTAACTTTATTCACTCAGGCTTTTAAACTTTTGTATTTGTTTTATGTTCCTTTTTCCTTTTTTATTTCTTTCATTGTTGAGAATTTTCTAATTTAGTCTTACCATTAGAAGCAGAACCATAAATACGTTTCCTTTTTTTCTTCCTTTTTTGCCTTAGAGTTCGTCGGAATCAGTCTCATGTAGTTTCCATTTGAGAGCAATTTGTTAAGTAAGTTTTAGTTTTCTTTTCCTTACTTTTCATTTTGGCTTGAATACATATGCTCCAGTTGGTTGTTGGGAAACTGGAACGGGAAAAAGTAAATTGAAATCAATTAGTTATATAATGTTTTGTTGCCAATTTCTTGGCAAACAACATTTAATGTCGATGCCAATAAGGTGCTAACTTAGCGCTGTTAATTTGAACTTTTCAAGTTCTTTTGTAACTCAATAGGAAATATCTTTAATATGATTCTTTGCATACTTTTCATTTCATCATCTTGCAATAATTAATAAAAGAAGGTTTTTTCTTGCAGTGGAATTTGGGGTTCATGGTGATGTTAATGGTGGCATGGTACTGAATTCAGTCCAAGTGGAGGCTAGTAGCATGGATAATGAAAGTGAAGCTGTAGAAAGTCCTGTTGAAGGAACTTTTCAGCAGGGTGTGAATGAAAAGATGGATCGAACTTCTCCAGAAGGGGACGACATCCCGGAGGGCATTCCAGCTGATGAGCCTTATGTAGGTCAGGAGTTTGAATCTGAGGCAGCTGCACATGCGTTTTATAATGCATATGCCACTAGGGTTGGATTCATAATTCGTGTAAGCAAACTTTCTCGTTCAAGGCGTGACGGATCTGCTATTGGTAGGGCACTTGTTTGTAACAAAGAAGGTTTTAGAATGCCTGACAAGAGAGAAAAAATTGTGAGGCAAAGGGCAGAGACGAGGGTTGGATGCAGGGCAATGATTTTGGTGAGGAAAGTAAGTTCTGGTAAATGGGTTGTTACAAAATTCGTGAAGGAACACACTCATCCTCTGACGCCTGGAAAAGGTCGGAGGGATTGCATTTATGATCAATACCCGGTCAGTTCTCACCCTATTGTCATAAACTCATCTCTCCTCAAGCCTGTCAATTTATGTTCTTTCATTGTATTTGCTAGCGAGTTGAAGTTGATTGAATTACATGTAAACAGATGTTTTCCAGAGTAAGCTTAGATCTTCCAGTTAGGAGGTAGGAGTAGCTTGAATTACATGCAAACAGATGTTTGTAATTCTATACTTTTGATTCACACTGAAAATTACTGGACTTAGATTATCAATTTCTGCTTGTTTTGGTGTTGGATAAGTTAAATGACCCAGAGGTGAAGCATTTTCCTGTACTTCTCATCAAGATATCTAGAGTCTCCTTGTTAAGATAAAATGATGATGGATTAGCAATGAAGATAATAGATTGTACTAGCCTAGGCCAGTTCATTCTTGTTGATTGGAAATTGAACTTTTCTTATTTGGTGGATTGGATAGTAGCTTGTCGGGTGTAACTGGAGCTGTAGTGACAAGTGCTTTTGAAGTACAGCTTTTTGGAAAGTGTCATCCCATCGAAATTATTTGACATAACCAAGAATATGTTCTTACCATTTCGTTTAATTTGCCTATCAACTTCTTATCATAGCTGTTTTCAGCTTTAGCTTTTAGCTTCAAAAAACTCATTTTCAGCCTTTATAGAAAACTAAAATTATCTTTTTACAAACAGGCACTATGTGGTGGTGGTTCTTATTTACCATATGTAATGACATTACACTTTCAATTTCATTTTGCCCAGTTCTAGTAGGTTCAGTCTCTCTATGTAAAATCTGAAGTGCATGGTATTTGCACATGTATATTCACCCTTACATTGTAGCAACTAAGCAAGTAATTTTCAACACCATTGCAACTACTGTTGTGGTACCTCTTGTGCTTCGTTTATTTTCCTATTTCTTAAAGAAAGTGTCATGCTATATATGGAATATTTTTCTTCATGTGTGATAATTGTCTTGATTGTGGACATTGAATATATGTATTCTATATGAGATTTTTATGGTATAAAATCAAATTATCATATTCAATATGGCTTATTGTCTTAAGAGAAATGGCATTAGGGCAGTATGACTACTTTGTTCTTGGTTTCATGTGTATCTGTCAATGAAAATTGTAAGTTGTGAAAGTTGTTATAGCATTTTAAAAATCTGGAAGCTGTAGCCACTTTAATTCATCAATGAAATATTGGGTTTCTTTACTAAATTTTGCTGTCAAGTTGGGGGAGGGGATTTGAATAGGATGAAATTGGGATGGCATAAACCTTAAAAGAGCTCCTGTACCATGGCCATTTATTCAACTATGCCTCTCACCTTTTATTACAATCAAACAAGCCAATACACTTTGATTTAAGGCCAAAAGCCCTTCATTTTAACAAAAATTTAACCTCCATTAGACCCAAGGCCAGTTTGCCTTTTTTGTCTGCATGACATATGACCTGATGAGTTGACATGGGAAAACAAACTGGCACATTTTGCCACATAGCTGTCATGTGGTCACGTCAGTTTATCAGGTCATATGCCATGTGGGCAAAAAAGCTGGCTGCATTAAGTCTAGTGATGGTTAAATTTCTGCTAGGGTTAAGGGTTTGTTTGGCCCTACGTCAAAGTTTAAGTGTTCATTTGAATACAATAAAAAGTGAGAGGCTTAGTTTAATAAATGGCCATAGTACATGGGCTATTTTAGGGTTTAAGCCAATTGTGATCTAAGTTTTATTATAATGTATGGCTACCATCAGGCTATTGCCTTGGCCACAGTATGAGATTTTTTAATGTGTTAATTTATTTGATTTTTTGGATATATTTCATTTTGTTTTTAATTGCATTTCAATTTCTGGATTGTTAAAGTCTGGGCTAAGTAAGGCATAATTTTGTGGAGTTGGTGCATGGTGTGAGCAACTTAAATATGTAGTCAAAAGACAATGAAATGACTTTATTTTCTTTTTTGGTTTTTAGGTAAAATTTGATTTTTTTTTTTTTTATGTTCAGTGGTTTTGTTTCTGTGAGGATATTCAATACCAAATTGAATGAACTTCTTAGTTCCGTTTAAGATTTTCAATGGTGTATTTCCTTTGGGATATGTGAGGTTTACTCTACTTGGTGTTCTAGTGATACGGCTGAGAAATTGTGCAAAATAAGGCAAGATTGAGAAAGAAGTGGTCTGAAGAGAATTTTAGTGTGAGTGGCAGGCAAGCACTGAATGAATCCTGTATGAATAAATAATAGTTGGGTCCAGGGCTTCCCCCTGAGCAAAGGGAAGCCAGTATTATTGTGTCATATCTCATGGAATTTGTTTATTGTGATTGACACATGTCCCTTTGGACCCTTTAATCTCCAGAAACATCTTAACAGCACACATCATAAAGTGCAATAGTGGATACCTCTCTCCATTCTGTTCCTGATATTGCTCTAATGTACCCTTGACATTTTGGGGGTAACACACTGGTTTTTTTAAGGAGGGAGATTAAAAGTTCTTTGAATCTAGGTTTAGGGCCTCATTTAGCCTCATGCCTTCTTCTTCATCTTACTCTTATAGCTTCTAGCTCAAGTATTCGGAATTGCCTCAGTAGATGCAAATGCTGTGTTGTTGGTCAAATGGCCATGTACACATTCAATTTGTATTAATTACAGCAACTGTTGTTTTAGCCTCAGCAATTTTGTCATTGTATCATACATGTGTCCTGTTGATTTTACAAAATGGGCTCTGGATTAAACATTGTCCCAACAAGTTAACATTAGATGCTCTTACCTGGGAGTCCTGAGTTCCATTATTGTTATTCAATCTCTGTACTGAAACTTGCTTTATCTATCTTGATTTTGCAGAATGAACATAATAAAATCCGAGAATTAACACAGCAGCTGGCCAATGAGAAAAAGAGAGCTGCAACCTATAAAAGGCATCTAGAATTGATTTTTGAGCAAATTGAGGAGCACAATGAGAGTCTGTCAAAGAAGATCCAACACATAGTAGACAGTGTGCGGGAAATGGAGAACAAAGAGCAGCAGAGCCATGTATAGTTCCAGCATAGCTTTTCATGTTTTTGTCAAAATATAGGATCAAAACCTGGTATAGAGTATGCTGTTGGGTAAAGGTCAGTGTTTCTATAATTAGGTTTGCTTAAAAAAAACTACATCCTGATATTGTTCTAGGTATTTGTTAGAATCTAGTCAGTTCTGTTGCATGGGAATCCTTGGGTCTATGCCATTCATTGGAATGCCTTGTGTGATTATGCTTTGAAAATTGAACCACATGGTTAGCAGGATAAACTAGGTCAGTCAATGTACAGTCTTTTGGGGCAAGCCTTGTGCAGTTGTGTGAAGAGTGCAAAGGTAATTGGCAATCGGGACGTCATTAGGTGGTTAAATTATTCCATTAAGTTTTTTGTACTTCTTTTTGGTAATTTTGGGTAAATGTTTTCTTACAATTTGATTAAACTTTGTCTGTCTTTGTATAGCATTCAAATGATTTTATTTGTATTCAGTTACATTTTGTATTGAGACTTTTGGATACTGCTGTAATTAGCACTTCATTTATTCCCATGATTTTAGCCGTACAACTGCGTTTAGAATCTGTTAAACCATACATCATTCTTACCATTTTAAGTACTATAAGTCAATTACCCTGCCTGAGGAGATAACGCTTGGCATTATATCAGGGCTCCCTGTCAAGTCTCTCCGAAGACCCTGGCATGGTCTCATCTAACTCCATATTTCCATCAAAAACTCACTTCTATCGGGCTGACGAAGACTTTGAAGATATGGAGGCATTCAATCGGATCCGGTATTTGTCTCTTTGCACTTGATGGATGATCGATGAAGCTTCTAGTAGGGAAACTATTGTCCTTCCTCTTCATCTTCATCTACCTATCAAGTTCAACTATTTAAATGAGACTGAAGTTATGAGCCTAGAAGATTGGGTTGTTGCAATGGTTTAGTACTCATGTAAGTTGAGTTTCGTGGTGCTCTTCGGTGGTATCCATCTCTTAGGGAACCAATTGGGAGGCATAGAACATTTTGTATATTGAGGAGCATAAACATGGCTGAATTAATATTATAACCTTCCCTCATTTGAATTGTTTCATGCTTCTTCTAAGCCCCAGATATGAAGCCAGCAATTTATTCAGCCAAGCCAAGTTAAATTTCCAAATAAACAAATGCTATTCTATGAATCCAGGATAAGAAAATATCCCAACAATTATAATTTCAGCTTAAAGATCTTAACTTCCAACATGATTTATATGTTGTGGTACGAAGGAAAGTTGTTTTCGTTTGTATAATTAAGCACGATTAAATTTCAATTGCATACAAAAGAGCAAGTAAAATAAACAATATAATTTGAGTTGCACCAAGCATTATTTAATGTTTTTATTTGCTAATGTAGGAATATTCATAATAATTATAATAAGAAAAGAAATCTAATCAAGTAGGGTATTCTAAAGTTAAAGCACATTATCGTATTAGATCTTTCTCTAAGTGAAAAGGATTTATCTTTTAGGATCAACTCTTTAAACTTTTTCGGATGAGTTTTAAAACTTTGAAGTGTTAAGTTATAGTAATTATGTGATACTAAAGTAAACCAAAAACCGGCATTTTGAAATTACTATTTTCTTTTAAATTCATTTGGTAAAATTTGGAGACAAATTTCTAAAAAAGGGCCACAGGATAGAAAATAGTAAAAATACTAAATTAGAGTAATTTTGTGAATTAATTTTGTATGAATGATGCAAATATCATGTTAAGCAATTTTTTTAAAAAAAAAATAAATAAGACAATTCAATCTCATAGAAGGTAGATAAGAGATTTTCAAAAATTTGTAAACGTAAACAATACATAATTTATCAAGTTAACTTTTTTTTAAAAAAAATAATCTGTATGTGATAGAAGAGATTGCTTTCAGTATATTATTATTATTATTAACTCGCATGGACTTAGTTCATTAGCATAGAGTTACCTACTCCCACGTATCCAAAAAAACAATTGAAATAAATCGGGCTTAATTACTCTGTCATTATGCAAACATCTATATAATAAAAGGGTGAAATCCCATACTTGAATTTATGCACTCTCAATTCTCGTGTTGTCGTTTCCTTGTACGTGTGTGGTGAAAGAATCGATATGAAACAATGCTCTTTTAATTTTTAGGATCTGGACGCAGCGTCCGAAGCAAGAAACAGCAGAATGTTACGACAAAGATTTTGTGGACCAGATGGGCGGCCACAGCAGTCTATGCATAAACCACGTGAACAGATTCTTGCTTGCAACACTTTCAATCTGCTCGATCTTTCAGATAGCCAGACTCTGACACTAGTGCTCTTCATGGCTGTTCTCTTCTTATCACATGTTGTTATTATTATTATTATTTCGTTCGATGATGCCAATCCTAGCGGGTGAATCATACAGAATTTCCACGTACTATTGCTATAGGCTATAGCTACCACCTTTTCTTTTGTCTATAAATGTGGGCATCATAGAGTGTTACGAAAGCCAAGGTTAGTAGGTTTTTTCATTGAGGGGATAGAGAGATGGAGAAGAGATCGTTGGGGATTTTCTTTCTGCTGCTCATTGTCTTAGCCTTCCGTAACTAGTCTCATGCTGTTCTCTTCCGAATCGGTGCAACTTCTTCTTTTATTTGTGAATGTGATTGAAATGAATAAACGTTAATTAATTGCTTGATGCAGCCAGCGGAGGGTAGAGTTTGCGAGTCAAAGAGCCATAAGTTCCAGAGCCCATGTTTGGGTGACCACAACTGTGCGCTGGTGTGCAGAAACGAAGGTTTCTCAGGTGGCAGATGTCGAGGATTCCGTCGCCGTTGCTTCTGCACTAAGCTTTGCTAGCTCATGGAAAGGATGCAATGCGTGCCCCATAGCTTTATTCCTAGTACTTTTGGCCTTTAGGTTTTCAATAAGGTATCTTCCAGTCCACCTCCCATCGTCGGGGGTGTTTCTTCTCCTTTTGTATTGCTTAGGGTTCTCGTTTGTTTCTTGTTTTGTACTGCAGTGAAACCTCGTTTGCAGCTGCCATCAATGGAGGTAGTTAATGGCCATGAAAATGTGTTGATGCCATCACTTCTCTCACGTTCTGCATGTAAACTCCCTTGGCTTCATGGCATCCGTTTCCGGTTTAAATCCTTTCCGTCTGAATCAAAACGGTGTTTTGAATTTTAAAATATTTTGAACCAAACCAAAAATGAAAGAATAAATGGGTGAAAATTAATCACTTGATTTGTCACTATAAAAATTGGATCGCTGAATATGCATTATTCCTAAAATAATAATTCATAATTTCCTTACAACAAAAAATAAAGAGTTAATGATTCAGTATATATATATATATATATATATATATCAATTATATAATTCACTTGTGCAATTAAATAATTTGATCACTTAGTATAGGATAATTTATAATTTTTCTATAAAGAAATTAGGAATTAGTGTTTTTTTGTTATGTGTAAAAACTGAGGGTGAAAAGTACTAATTAACCTCAGGTAATAGAATACATATTATCTGTATATTTTATAATTGAAAAGTAAAATAATTGAAATAAATGTTTGTTTAAATATAATACATTTCACAAATTCAATTTTCTCTGACTAAACAAAACTTGACTAAATGTTTATTTTTTATATAATTAATTATGATAATAATTTAGATTAACTAAAAAGATTATAACCATTTTTCAAGATGTTTTATTTCTAAAATTTAAACTACTTTTATCCACAGTAGGTGTACGATTCTATAGACACTTTATGAGAAGTCTTTAAATTATAATAAAAGCATAATTACAAGATTAAAACTTAAAAAAAAGTGACGAAAGGTCATCACTGGAGTAGAGTTTGCAGCTTAGTTTGACTCAATAGAAAAAAATTTATCAATTTAAATAAAATATATTAAAAATTGATAAATTGAGAACTCTTTTGATGTTATGATATATCTCTTATATATTAAAAAGTATAAATTATATACAATTAATCAAGATTTTACCATAAACATATGTAATTATCTCACCGCTATTATTCTTTACTTAAATTTTAATATAAATGTTTCACTTATCTAAATTATGGTATAAATATATAAATATATATGTCAATATGTAGGTAGACCTTGGTGTTAATAATAATATATTTTCATATCACTAATATATATTGTTAAACTATCGAAAAATAGTTTTCACTAAAATTTTTTAAAACAACTAGACACGAAATTAAAAAAAAATAGTATACCAATGTGAAATTTCGCCAAAAATTTGAAAAAGAGAAAAAATGAAATAGAAGTTAGTTAACGTTTAAGGATTTCCGTTTGCTGACGTGTTGGATTAGCATTGGCCCTTTAAGCTACGAATTCTTAAGAAGTCAAACTGAAACTGTAAGAAAAATAAAGATTAAAAAAACAAGACAAAAGAAAAGCAAAAACCCTACTCTGTTTCTCTCTGCCTCTCTGTTCCACTGTCAGTAGCCGTTGCCTCCCGCTCCGCCGGCGCAGCTATTCAAACACCATTTCTCTACTGCTTGTCCAGTTGCTTTTTGAGTCTCTCCTCAATCTATACTTATCTTTGGTAAGCTCAGTTTCCATGATTCTCCTTTGAGTTTGTCCGACATATAATTTTCAATATTGGGTCCTTTTGAAGAATCAGGATTGGATGAAAAATTTTTCGAAAAAAAAATAATAACGAAAGAACAATTCAAACCTTCCTGAATAACTTGCTCTCAGGGGTTTTGGGCAAGAGGAATGGAATATGTAGTAAAAGATAAGAAATTTATGGTGGGGATTTGTGTAAAATTACAGGCTCTACGAACAATTTAAACCTTCTCGTGTAACTTGCTTTCTGAATTTGGATAGATGCTGCTCTTATTTAATGCATTTGGATATCCTAAAATATATGTGTTGGTGAGTAAATTTTGTATATTTTATGCTGTCTTATTTACTACGAAAGATCCTTTGTTTGTTTTGTTTCACAAGGTTGGTACTTGACACAACATTTCTGTCAAAATGAAGAAAATGATAGCCCTTGGTTTTGAAGGATCAGCTAACAAGATTGGTGTTGGGGTTGTGACATTAGATGGCACCATTTTGTCAAACCCACGCCACACCTACATTACCCCACCTGGCCAAGGATTCCTTCCACGAGAAACTGCTCAACACCATCTCCAGCATGTGCTTCCACTGATTAAATCGGCTTTAAAAACAGCCCAAATTACCCCTGATGAAATTGACTGCCTTTGTTACACCAAGGGTCCCGGTATGGGTGCACCGCTACAAGTTTCCGCCATTGTTGTTAGGGTTCTTTCGTTGCTATGGAAGAAGCCCGTTGTTGCAGTTAACCACTGTGTTGCACATATTGAGATGGGAAGGATAGTAACTGGTGCAGATGATCCAGTTGTGTTGTATGTTAGTGGTGGGAATACTCAGGTTATAGCGTATAGTGAAGGGCGATACAGAATCTTTGGGGAGACTATTGACATTGCTGTTGGGAATTGCTTGGATCGGTTTGCTAGAGTTTTAACCCTCTCAAATGATCCAAGCCCTGGATATAACATTGAGCAGGTATGTAAAGATGGTTATGTTGTAATTTTCAAGTTCTGAAACATATTATAATCTAGAAACCTGATTCCTTTATTTTCCCTTTGTCATATATTGGAGGGAAACAAAGTTCTTTTGTAATGCTAATTTTCAACCTCTTTCAATTTACTTTTATGCTTTAGATACTCAAACATCGGAGGTTTTGCTTCTGTTTAAATATTTTTAGATGATCTAAGGTAATCATACCTCAAATAGCGGTGCATATCTAAGTGATTTAAGATTTATATTTTATGAAATCAAAACTGTGAAACTCAGGAAGGAAGCCATATGTTTGCTTTCTGCACAGCAAATTGAATACTACTAGACCTATAAAGCATGATAATATTTCTGCTCCTAGGAATAATCCATAGAACCTAGATATTTTGAGACTAATAGTTCTCTCTTTTCCCTCTTGTTATTTCTCTGTCATTTTAGTCAATACAACAAGCTCTAAGACCCTAATTTCAATTATCCTTGAATTCCCCTTTTGTCCTTCAGTCCTCTGCCACTGCTTTACTTTTATAATTTTATAGATGATGAATAAGTTAGTTTTAGGCGTTCTGATTTCAACCATTGCCAATTTGCACATCTTGCTGAAGTTCAATTTAATCATTTTATCTATTTTCATTTTGTTCTGCCCCTTTATGTCTGTCTCTTCCCCCAAATCTTCTGCACTTGAAGAGACAAATTAGATGCTTCTAGCAGAGCTTCCATGTTACAAGATTTGTTTATTACTCCTGTTTGAGGACAGTTTTTTCTCACAGCTTCACGTACTAATTCATGTTCAGAAAGCATTTCCATTCAACCTGCCTGATATGACTTCTTCCTTTCCAGCTAGCAAAGAAAGGAGAAAAGTTTATAGATCTTCCATATGTGGTCAAAGGGATGGATGTATCCTTTAGTGGAATATTGAGCTACATTGAAGCTACTGCAGAGGAGAAGCTAAAAAATAATGAATGCACCCCTGCAGATTTGTGCTACTCCCTTCAGGTGAATTACTTACAGGATCCTTTTGTGTTCTTTACACGACAGTATAGCTGGAAAAGCTTTAGAGGCAAAGAATCTTTATGTCACCATTCTAATGTATTCGCATTAAAATGTTGTGTGCTACTGTCTTTTGCTCTGATTAGTTTCTACTTATATTGTATTATGTTGCAGGAAACTCTATTTGCAATGCTTGTGGAGATTACAGAACGAGCTATGGCTCACTGTGATACGAAAGATGTTCTCATAGTTGGTGGTGTGGGTTGCAATGAGCGCTTGCAAGAGATGATGAGGACAATGTGTTCTGAACGAGGTGGTAGATTGTTTGCAACTGATGACAGGTACTGCATTGACAATGGAGCAATGATAGCATATACAGGTCTCCTTGCCTTTGCTCATGGGTCATCAACACCCCTTGAGGAGACGACATTCACTCAGCGTTTTCGGACCGATGAGGTGCATGCAATCTGGAGGGAGAAACATGAGTCAGGTGACATGAATGGTCTTGTGGAGGGAGGAATTTAAATTGCTATTAAGGTATGGTCATCTTGGTGTTTCCAAAAAGGGAAAATAAATGATGAATTCGTGGTTTGGGTGTTATTGAAAATTTTAGAAATTTTAATCACTTAAAGAAGAAAACAAATTAAGTATGTTTTTCTGAATGTTATTTTCTTTAATGCTTTAACATATGCAAAAAAATGTAAGAGATTGTTTTAAAATATTACACATTGATTTGCTGTATTTGGGCTTTCCATGGTTGCTTGTGATGCCTGGGGGATGTTTTCTTTTGTTCTGGTGGATATGGAAAGGTGTTAGCTTTACTCAATGTTGAATTTAGGCTCTAGACTGTACAGGCAAATTGTTCAAAACCATTTAGGGTGGAAAAAATAAGCTATAAAATTAATTTAGTCTAAGTGATGTGACTGTTTCTGTTGAGCAATTACTGATACTAGATGCATTTAGACTTATGATCAATCTGACATGAATTCTGATCTCTGCCCTTAATTATACATGTACCGTTTTTGTCTTCGCAAAACTAACTTGGTGAAATGAACTAAAAATTTATCAATTTAATATGAACAAATGCAGCAAAGCCATACATTGAAGATATATTCAATTTATGAACTTTTTATTTTTAAACACGTGAAAAAAGTTTCAGAAAATATTATACTCTTTTTAAGACCAAATTTTAGAATCGTGGGTTTTCAATAAATAAGTCATTTGAGTTCAATGCTCTTGATACTTATTCAGAATATTACTATACTGTCAGTTTGGTCTATTTATCATTTTATTCTTGTTTTTCTGAGGGTTGGTGTATCATGGGAATTGATCAATTGGCTTAAGTATGCAGTGTTAATTGCCCATAATTTCTTTTGACTTCTAAAAGAAAAAACAATCATTTGAGTTAAATAAAAATGTGCTACTGGTAGTTAAGAGGTTACTATTATTCTGTTGGCTTTAATTTGATATTTCTTTTCATGATTTGTTGTGCATATTTGGATTATGGTAAACTACAAATTTGGTGGAATGAGCTGAATTTCTGGTCCATGGTTTCATTTTCTTTTAACATAGTTGTGAAGTTGTGGTTTTAGAAAGTTTTGGTGGTCAACCTTCAAGTTTCAGAAGTTTCCTATTTAGTAGTTATCCAACCTAGAGTAATTAGGAGAGTTCTTGAACCTATAAGCAATTATTATTTTCTTAGAGTATTGGAGTTTGTTTCTATGCAATTGAGTTATTTGGTGAGTTTTGCGATAAATTTACATTGCAGTTCCTATTTATTATGAACTTTAAACTTCCATCAATCTTTGATGCTCTACCTCTCTTCACTGTTACACCATTGCAAACCTGAAAAATCAGATACATGTTGTTGCCAGAATATTTTAGCAAGACGGATCCCTGATTTCACCCACTTCATTCATCAGAGTTTAGCATATTCAACTGAGTCCTCACCCCTTATTTCACCTTTTACCATGGTTATAGGCCCTAAAAGGAAATAGGCATGTTCTTCGAACTTGTACCATGTCATGTTTGCTTGAGACCAAAGTACAGGGTATTGTTGGGCCTCTATGTGCCTTATGGATTAAAGCTAACTTTAGAGTCGTTGAAAGCTAATTTTTCAAATATAGTGAGTGCTATTAACTTGGGTATATTTGGTTTAGTTAACAACAAGATCATGTCATCAAATTATTTGGGCTTTCCATTTTGATAACCAAAACCGTACAGCATGACACCAAATACTGAATGTATCTGTCTGCTGGAAGTATAGAGAAAGGGTTAGAACCTTTGCAGGAAAGATAGAAAGAGAAGAAGGAAAGGAAGAAAAGAAAAAAATTTGGAGAGAGAAGATTGATAGGAGATCCTTTAATGAAGAGAAGATGGTAAATTTGAAGTTTATGGTTGAACTTGAACTGATAGCATAACATCCCATTCAAACCTGTGGTTTGCTTTCTGATTATGGTGCTTTCTATAGTTCTATTATGGATTTTCCTTTTTCCGCAAATTTGTTCTGCTAGGTGTTTCTGGTTCAACATTTTGGGTCAATACAGTCACATAACGCTTGAGGATTTGCCCCCTAAACAGAATACCTGATCATACCAACAGCTTCACAGAAATTGTTTCAGTCTTTGGTTTTGAAACTCTTGTTAGTTCAATCATCATTTTGATTTGTTTGGTTGCATTGAACTTCTTCATGCTTTGCTGGAAATTGTGTTAAACATTGGCTTGCTCTCATGGTCACGCAATTATGCCCAAAATGGTTAGCATCGCAATGGTTGCTTCCCCTTTTCTTATGCTAATGCTGTTGAAAATCGAATGTGTTAATTGAATTGTTGTAGTTTTTATTGAGACAAATCCTAGTCTTGATGATTTGAGCTACTTTCTATTGCCATTTTTATGTACAAGTGCAGACCTCTTTGTCATTATTAGATTTTTGAAACATAATGAGTCTGGTTTTAGAGAGATGTATAAGAGAAGAGAGAAATAATTTTAAATGACCAATGACTACATGAATGTATAAGAAGAAGGGGTTTAAGTGAAATTCAATGAATTTTGACCGCATGAATATGTACATTAGCAAATGGAAACATCTTTACTGAATTAGAGAAAGGATTAACTTGCAATTCTTTTTTTGATTGCTGGATGATGGAAATAACGATTCTCAGAGTATAGAAACTAAAATGAATATTTCATGGAGTTCGGGGACCAGTTGGGCCCTTAATTTATTGGTTTTTTGAAATGGATTCTCTTAACAAGCGTCTTGGTATGATTAACACCCTTCTTCCATTGTTGTGATTGTCAAGTGAAATTTTGAGTTTGGTATCCAGTCATGGTTGAGTTGTGTTATGCAGAAAGTAAATCATTTTGTATTCTTTAGAAATAGAAAGAAAATATTATCTTTTATTTTCTTCTCAAATCCCAATAGGTATGTCTTCCTATTATTCCCTTTTCAGCTCTTCATCACATTTTGGATGGAGTACTGGGATTTGAAATCTTCTTTTCATTGTACTATCTTTCAGGAAATAAATTGTGTTCTTGATTTCAAAGATATAGGATTTCTGGTTTTAGTAGTATGATGTATAGCTACTTTTATGTTTGCGATCTTGTTTTCTTGATTGTGTCCAAGGATCAAGCAATTTACTTGACACAGATTTTGTTCTGGTGTTATTATTTGGTCATCAGAATGCTGTTAAATAAATTAATAAAATAGTTATGGGGCATTTGTGTTTCCTTGTTTCTTGTAATTTGCATTTGAACCTAACAGAGTCATTTTGATGTTTTCTCACCCTTGTCTAACCCTGTCTAGGTCATGTAAAATTTGCAGAAAGTTCCACATGTTTTTGTTATAATATACTTGCTACATTTTTGTTGTTTCCAGGTTTCAGTGCTTGTTGCATGTCCCAACTCTGGCTCTTGAAGGTACACTAAAGATTTATGTATGTCATGATGTAATATGGTTACCAGGAAGGTTAAGAAGCAACTTATTCCATGTTCTAAATATTTTATTTGCAAATTATTTCTTACATTGAAATCTCCCTATATTCTTTCTCTCTGTTTCTCTCTTTTTCTGTGCACATGTATGCATCTGCATGGCACTCTAAAATCACTCTTTTTCAACTACATCACCAAGTATGTTTCCTTCAATTGCATCACAAATATTGTCTACTCATTACAGCATTGAACTCAAGTAGACCATTGTCGGGCAGCAATCTATTGTTGTCAGAGAAACCTAATTAACTGGATCTGTGTTGATGGATACTCTCTATTTCTAACTAGGCAGAAGCTGAAATGCTGTAACATGTTGGCATTTGGTATCATAAACATCAAATGAAGCTGACATAAAATATGGGGATTTGGTTTGGATGAAAATTTGGAATCCACTAAGATATGGGGCATTTGAAATGTTAAGGATCAATGGATAGTGAAATAAATGTTGCATGATTCGGTGAACACAGCACGCCCTGAGAGAATTCAAGGCTTGAAGTTGCGGCAATTTGCCTTGGATGCCATCATAGAGGGTGGTAGTTCCCACAAGGCTCTGGATGTATTAGGAAAAGATTATCTTCCCTTAGTATATCGAAATAATAAGAATTAATATGTCGGCAATAAAGTGCGTCAAACTTATTGATTCTACGGCTAGTTTTTATTTTTTATTTTTTATTTTTTGTGCTTCTTTTTTTCTGGTAGGAGAACATTTAAGTTATTTAATATTTAGTTTTCTTATTAATTAGTTTGAGGACTGTCTCTATATAAACGTTCTCTTTCCCTTTAATTGCTTGTGGTTCTATATATTGACATTTGACAATGCAAGTTTAATAAATTTCAATATTGAAATAAAAAAACAACCTTCCCTGATTACCTAATATACAGTAATTACTACAAAAATTTTAGTATTAAAAATAGAAAATTGGGACTCGATTATAATCAATCTCTCATTGCATTTCATTTCTATTTTAATTTGTTTTAGTGAATATATAGTTCTGACTGATCGGCTTTGCACATTGGAAGGCCTAAATCAACAGACTAGTTTTTTCAAAATGCTTCATCTATAGGCTTGGTTGAAGGAATAGATACTAGGTGGAGAGCTCCACTTAGTCATTACTAGCAAAGGATTGCGATGCTGCGGATTTAATTCTTTTTTTAAAAAAAGGAAAATAGGCATATATTTTAATTATTTCTTAAAAATATTTTTTCTTCATTGTAGGTTAGAAGTTAATTATTTTATGATAGTAATAAAAATTTGTATCGGTTGCAAAAATAGATTAAAAAGATAAAATGATCATTAAAATACAATAAGAGAATAGAAGGAACAACTTCCCTAGTTTTAGTAAATTATAAATTTGCAATTCATCACTACCATTAGCTGTGAATGGTTAGTATACCCCACCCACATCATCTCTTTTGGTTTCGGTTTTTCAATTTGTGAAATTTAAACTCTGGGTTTTCATTCTTAAGGTCATTAACTACATGATTACATGAAAAAAAAAGTAAAAAAATCTTTGATAATAATTGGTTTTTTATGATTTTCTTTCTGTGTTAATTTTTGGATAATATGAAAAAATTAAGAAAAAAAATTGGTTTTTCAATTGGTGAAATTAAAACAGTGGGTTTTCATTCTTAAGGTCATTAACTACATGATTACATGAGAAAAATAAAAAAATATTTGATAATAATTGGTTTTCTATGATTTTTTTTTTGGGTTTTTAGGATTTTGTATGTGTTAATTTTGGATAATTTGAAAAAATTAAGAAAAAAAATTTGGCCGGCCTCCACCACGGCCATGGCTAATGTCGATCACTCCAGGATTCGTTAATTTTGCATAGAATTGATGAGCCACCGGCCAGACCCACGGCTATGTTTGGCTTTCATATAGAATTTAAAGGCTACCACAATGCCCGAGCCTATCAATATAAGCTGACCAAGTGACTGAATGTGTTGAACCAGACCCGCATTTATCCGTGCCCCAGGTGGTCTGTGCTTGCGCGCGTCTAAGCTCTGTCTAGGGGCCTTATGTCTCACGACGTTCAAGGCATATAAATGGCACGTTTCGCCCCTAATTTATGGATGTGGGCCGCGCTAAAATTAAGAAGCTACATGGCCATGTGTCATTCGTCAAGCAAAAACGAAATACATGGGTACTTGGTTTCCCCTTTCGAAACCAATGCGAGATCTACTAGAGCCTCCTTCATGGCATGGAAGAGCCTGCACTTGCCGTCACTGTCCCTTCTGTAAACCTCTTCCATCAGCAGCAAGACGCTTATCCAGTGGGATCGTATACCCTTTCAGATTCTTCCGTTGTTTAAACCATGGGTTTGAATTTTTCGCGTCTGGTAGAAAAGGCGCAATGGCGGATCGAAAGCTACGAGATTTCTACCTTCAAAAGTTCTTACGATGAGTCAGGTAAACGACTCGATTAGGAATCTAACTGGGAGGCTTCCACTTTTGCAAAATTTCGCTTTTATAACTAAAACACAACCATTACAAGTCCACGCAATTACAAACTCCTCTCCGACTAAATTCTCTTCTATTTATTTATTTATTTATACCTTTGTTTTCCACAATACTGCCATGGAATTCAAGACCTATATATGGCTTCCTCTTTCTCTCTCTCGTATCTTGTTGTTGCTTCATGGCTCAAACTCTCTCGGGCACCTCCATGCTCCTCGAGTCCGACTGGATCCGAGCCAGTTTGGTTGCATCAGGTGCACTGTCTAAACCCTTGCAAGCTCGGATAGCCACTCCCAATTCGTCCACAAACAGCTTGGTATTGTTGAAGTGGTCAACTTGCATGGGGCATGCGAGCAACAACACTCCGACGAGGATTCCCTCGACTTCGGAGTTCCAGCCGCAAGGAGTCAAGTACGAACAAACCGCGCGATGCTCTAGAATCGCGAGTCCCCTTCCCTCCACGGGCTCTTCGAAGCTCGAAAATATTATTTGAATAATAAGTAATATATCTTTATTTAATTTTAATTTTGAAAAATATATTTAAAATATTAATATATTTATATAAATTTTTTTAAAATATTAAAATATTATGCAAATAGATTGGCTAGATCGTCCTCAAACTGTAGATCTGATAGACCCATGGACAAGAGCTTTAATATTTCCTATAATGATTATGAAGCCTCATCCATAATGATCATTTTTCATTTTAATATAATTAACTTGCAGAAACCTCAATGTTGGAAGTTATTGTTTTTCATTTTAAAAAACATAAATTAATTTACGAAATTCTTATATTTGAATTTTGATACTTTTAAAAAACGATCTAAATTATATTTTTTTCATTCAAAAAAAGAAAGAAAAAATAAAGGAAAAAGAAAATAAAAATAAAAAAGAGAATAATATGAAAAAGACCCATATATTTATTTCATTTTATCTATTTCCTTATTATTGTTAATTATTAGTTTTTCCTCTTTCTTTCGTATATGTGTCTCTCTTTCATCTGAAGATCTAAAACTCTTGTACTCAATTTCAAAATATAAATTGTTGGAGATCAACAATTTATTTAGATCAATTTTTTATCTTAAATTATTTTAAATTACTATAACTAATTTATAAAATGAGCCTGCCTAACCCCTTCCCTTCTGTCTTGCCCATTTGTATCAACCATAACTCTATTTTTTCTTATCCTTAAATCATTTTGGCCTATTCCCTTTGTTTTTCTCTTTGACAGTGGGCCTTTTTATTTTATTTTGAAGGCAACTTGTTCATATAAAACTTATTTTACCCATTTAATCTTTCCATAAGAAAATGTAAGATAGAAAGCATTGTGTTTGATGAAGATAAACAAATAAATGAAAGAGAAAAATAGGGGGTAAAATAAGGACAGGGAAAGATGGACTTATTAAAAATGAAATAGAACTTCATAATGTATTCGAGCGTTTGATTTATTGGTTGATGTATAATTTTTTTACTTAAAAAATAAGATTTGAATCACTCATCCCTCAATTATAAATAAAAAAAAATTAAACTTCATAATTCTTTGAATATAATTTATGTCTGATTTTACGTGTAAGGATAAAATAATTTGTTATGTTTTGGCAAATAAAATTCAGGTTGCAATGGGTTACAATTTCATACATCCATAGTTAATTTAAAAACTCTACAAACATGTTTAGACCCATAGCATTTAATTATAAATAAATGACATTTGATAAGATTATAATTTTGGTTTCAAGTCCTTTTAATGGAGCAACTTGGAAGAGAAATAAGGTATTAACTCTCTTAATTAACTGCTTAAAGAGCAATTAACAGTGACTAATCATGACGTGCTTCAATTAAATAGGTGGCGGCAAAATAAAAAATTAATCGGATTTTCATAAGATGACCCAAAATCATGATACAGCATATTAGCAAATGGGGAATAAAAAATAGTTATGATGATTTGTGACAAACAGCCCACTTGCTGCAAGTAGCTGTCTGCAAAACAAAATAACCAACATTCATCAACCTCGTTAGTTGCATCCTAAGGTGGTTGACTCGATTACGATTTGTACATTGGCTTCGCTTCTTGTTGGCTTCTAAATTCCGCAGAAAAAGCTTCAATCAATTACAAGAAAAGATGGAGAGTCAAATGGCATGTGAGGGCAAAGGCGTCAGTAAACATATCTGGGTCATCCCCTTCCCAGCATGCGGCCATATTCTTCCTCTCGTCGACTTAACCCATCAGCTCCTTCTTCGTGGCCTAACGGTGACAATCTTGGTCACACCCAAAAACCTTTGCTATCTGAACCCTCTTCTCTCTTTGCACTCTCCCAGTAATGTTCAAACCCTTGTCTTTCCCTTTCCTTCTCACTCTTCCCTCCCTCCTGGAGTTGAGCAGATGCAAGACCTCCCTATATCCTTTGTTCCTGACATCGCAACTGCCTTGGGTAAACTCTATGAACCTTTGTTTCAGTGGTTTCAAAGCCACCCATCTCCCCCTGTTGCTATTCTCTCTGATACATTGCTCAATTCTTGGACTACAAAGCTAGCTTCCCATCTCAACATCCCTAATATCAGTTTCCTTCCGTTCAATGTCAGAGCAGTGTCTTCGTGGTTCGGAAAACTGAACATCATGCCATCCTTTTACACGGAGGCATATATGGCAAGTATACAAAGTTGGGGGCTTGTTTTTAACTCCTTCAAAGAGTTGGAAGGCGAAAATTTGGATATCATTAAGGAGAAGTTCACCCGACATGATCGGGTTTGGGGCGTCGGGCCTTTGCCGCCTGCAAAAGCTGGGGACAAAGGCCTCACTCAGAGAGGTGGACGGAGTTCAATGCCCCCTGATCAAGTAATGACATGGCTCGATTCCTGCACGTGGACAAATCAGTCGTCTACGTGGGATTTGGGAGTCAAATTACGTTGACCAAGCAGCAAATGAAGGCACTGGCCTCAGCGTTGGAAGAGAGCGGGGTTCGTTTCATTTGGGCTGTCAAGGATCCGATGAAAAGAGTGCAAGATGGCGATGATGATCAGAGTATGATACCTCAGGGGTTCGAAGATCGTGTGGCAGGGAGAGGCCTCGTGATCAAAGGGTGGGCTCCCCAAGTGGCGATTCTCAGGCACCGGGCCGTTGGTTCTTACTTGAGTCATTGCGGTTGGAACTCAGCACTGGAAGGGATCCTTGCTGGAGTGTTGTTGCTTGCTTGGCCCATGCAAGCCGACCACTTCCACATCACCAAGCTGTTGGCAGATGAATTCGGGGTGGCTATCCGAGTTTGCAAGGGTTTAAGGAGTATCCCTGATTCGGCCAAACTAACTCGGATCTTTGTTGACTCCACAAGCATGGCGCTGCCAGAAAGAGGTCGAGCCATAGAGCTGCAGAAAACTGCACTAAACGCCATCAGAAAAGGTGGAAGCTCGTACCAGGCTCTTGATAAACTAATTGAAGAGTTGTCTAGCTTTAATGGCAACAAAATCAAGGAAAATAAAATAAGATCGTCTATGTAGCATTTGGGAATGGTTTGACTTTGACAGAAATTACACCACAAAGGGTCTTCACTAGAATTCCCCTACTTTGGACAGCGTGTAGGGGACAGGTTTTGTACACCCATTTTACCAAATATATTGAAAAGTTTTCTTTTGATCTTTTATCATTTGGAGAAATTATAAGCCAAATCTTCAATCATTGAACATATAAAGGTATCTCATCACAATACTCGCGACATCCAACCAAATCGAACATTTCGGCTCTAAAACTAATACGCTGAGGAGATGGGCCAAATCTTGAGTTAAAGGAGGCACACCGAGTAGGTTCATATATATACATGTTGAACATCACTTGTACCCCAACACTTAAATCAAGGCATGAAATTTTAAATTTCATATATATATATATATATATATATATGTTAGTTTTACGTTTCAATTTTAATTGGACGTGAATATTATTTTTACAAATGAAGCTCGGCATTTATTATGTTCAATGAAAAAAATAAAAATATGTATTTTGTGAAATTTAAATTAATCATCACTATAATAGTTTATTTTTCATAAAAGGATATTATAAATAATATTTAAAAATTTACTTACTAAAAGGGAAAAAGGAATTTAGGTGATAGTGTAGTTGCCTGGTTTCTATTGGCTTCGATATGTAGCCTTTGAAATTTGAAGCAAATGTGCCTAAGGGGAAGAAGAAGAAGATGGGTAGCAATGGCGGGGGTGCGGCTCCTCCGTTGATAGGATTAGGGAGGAGACAATCCCATTTGAAAAAGTCTTTCAACCTCGCCGTTCGTTCTGTTCTCACTACCTGTCCTAAACAGGAATTTAGCAAAGCATTTCCAAATTTTACAAGTGCGGAGCAAGAACGTCTCCACCAGCTTTTTATTCAGGTCATTACCTCTTTGAATGGGAATACAGAGGATGAGTTTAAGTCTTCATGCCAGGAAACACAGGTAGCAACTGCCCTTGACACTGTGGAGCAACTTGTGGAAGAACAACATCTTGACCCTTTGTTTTCAGATAAGACCAATATAATGGATGTGGTGCACGATCTGTGAACAGAAAAGAAGGCTGACATCCAATACTTAAGGGGCCTGCTGGAAAGGGCTGCAGAACATAATCGTCTCTTCCGAGCTCGGGTTGAGCTACTTCAGAATAGAAAGCAAGAAGTCTCGAGCATGAAAGATGTTGAGAAGGTAAGGGGTGGAATTTTAAGTTATGGGGAACGTAAAATATCTGGTTTTAGTGATCTGCAATTGGAGGGCTAATGTATCTTCCACAGCACCGACAAGCTGCATGGATTGGTTGATCACACCAACACATTGAACTGAGATGCTAAACCTTCAGTTTGTTTACTTGAATATGTTGTTGTAGTCAGAATGGAGTAAAGTGCTCATTGTTGTATACACATTGAGCATGGAAAGAAGCTTTAAAACATAGAATTGGAAGGATTCTTGTGAACAGATAGGCAATGCTTATAGCACAATGGGGAGCCTTGGTATGTCTCTTTTATCTTGTGAAAAAAAATGTACCTAAGGATATGCTTCTATTAATCAATTAAATGAACTAGCTAGCTGCCAACAAAAAGTCCAGTACTGCCGGTGCTTGATGACTGCAATTTTTTTTGGGATGAATGCTTTAAAGGTAGACTAAAAGTAGAGTTCTTTGTTTGCAAGTAAAACAGCGAGGGTGAGTGTTTCTAACAAGACAAAGGAGCTATATACCTCGTAGACAAATGATCTTCAAATCCCATCGCGCTCTAACATAGTTGGATGGAATTGTACTTGTCTAATGTTGCAAGTTTTGGAATATGTTGGGGCATATTCATCAACCACATAATTTGATTCTCTTTTGGGTTACAATAAAGTTAGACAACTGATTTCAATAGTTAATATAAGTTATAGAATTAGAAGATGACGTGTGTCAACCCTATGGCTTAACAACTACTTCAAGGCATTAAGAAACAAGGGAACGCCATTGCTCAATGGGTAACTAGGTGAAAGATACTGTGACATACATGTCTGAGAATGGGTTTTGTAATGCATGGTGGGGCTTTCTTTTGGGAAGGACTGGCTCAGGAGGATAATTGTACAGGGAGGCGGAAGGATCTGCCAACTTTTGTTTCCTTTAAAGAAGGTAACTTCATGTTTCAATGAATTTCTTATGGCTTATCAAAAAACAAAAAAAGGCAATGCCATTGCTCAATGAAGTTCCCTCCTGAGTTGTTGGAGTTTCTTTTTGTTTTTAATTTCCACTTTTCGCATGTGGAAATAAGGCGTCTTGCTGACAAATCATCAACATTATCACAGCCAAAACAGATCAACTGAAGTTGTCTTTACCCTGTGTGCAGAATTTGGAATGTATTGGGAGCATATTCATCGATAGTCAAGTTGATACTTGAAGAGTAGCTACCCCAATTCAGTAGGTAGCACAAAATATAAATAGTCTTTTGCTCGTAACATTGTATATTTTATCAACAACACTTACTATACAAGAGATTACTTTCTGCATATGTTGATACATCAAAATTTACAAGAGCAAGAAGAAGCGAGTGAAAAAGAGAGAAAAATGCCGAGCTTGGGCAATCGCGGCCACATCCTAAAGATCCCATACCCAGCATCTGGCCATATGCTTCCACACATGGATCTAACCCACCAGCTTCTTCTTCGAGGCATTACGGTGACAATCCTGGTCACACCCAAAAACCTTCACTATCTAAATCCTCTTCTCTCTGTGCATTCTCCTTCCAAAGTTCACACTTTAGTCCTTCCCTTCCCTTCTCACTCATCTATCCCTTCTGGAGTTTGAGAACATGCAAGAAGTCACTATATCCTTCGTCCCTGACTTTGCCGCTGCCTTGAGTAAACTCCATGATCCTTTGTTTCAATGGTTTCAAAGCCACCCATCTCCTCCCGTTGCCATTTGCTCTGATATGTTACTCGACTCTTGGACTAATAAGCTAGCTTCCGAACTCAACATCCCCAATATCAGTTTCCTCGTCGTCAATGCAAAAACGGTTGCTTCGTGGTGGATAAATGATCTGGACGTTATGCCAGAATGTTACAGAGAGCTGCATCTTGGATGTATACGAAGCTGGGGCTTCATCTTCAACTCGTTTACTGAGTCAGACAGTGAAAGTTTGCAAGTCATCCAGGAAGAATTTATCAAACATGATCGTGTTTGGGAATTGGGGCCGCTACTCCCCATAAAATCAATCAGTAATGGCCATGCAGTGAGGTAGACCAAGTACAATAGCCCAAAAGACCAAGTACAATACCCCAAGATCAAGTCATAACATGGCTTGATTCTTGCCACGTGGACAAAGCAGTCGTCTACGTAGGATTCGCGACCCAGATCAGATTGACCAAACAACAAATGAAGGCAGTAGCAGCTGCATTGGAGGAGAGTGAAGTTCGTTTCATTTGGGCTGTCAAAGATCCAATGGAAGAACTGCAAGAGGCCGATCATGATGATCGAAGCGTTATTCTTAAGGGATTTGAAGACCGAGTGGCAGGGAGAGGCCTTGTGATCAAAGGGTGGGCTCCCCAGTTGGCGATCGTCGGACATCGTGCGGTTGGTTCCTACTTCACTCATTGTGGATGGAACTCAACCCTCGAGGCGATCCTGGCTCGAGTACTGACGCTTGCTTGGCCAATGCAGGTTGACCATCTGGAAAACACCAAGCTTTTGGTTGATGAATTGGGTGTGGCAATCCGAGTACTGAGGGTTTGGAGAGTGTTTCGGATGCAGCCAAGCTGGCTCGGATCCTGTCTGACTCTGTGAACATGAACCGGCCAGAGAGAGTTCGAGCCATGAAGCTGCGGAAGAGTGCATTGGAGGCCATTAAAGAAGGAGGGAGTTCCTATGAAGCTCTAGATGGATTAGTAGAAGAATTGTCTTCTCATGGTGCAATGAAATAAAAAGAGCATAAGTAAACGAAGTGATTAAACTTTAGCTAAACAAATAAACGTGCATTCAGAAGTTAATCAATTGGATTTTCCTTTTGCACTTGGTAACTTCTTAGATCATAAATGAAAATAAAATATATATTACAAAAAGATCATGGACAAATTAATGGTGCAATTATTCAAAGAGAGGGAAATTTTGTCTTTTCCCACGAGTATATAATGCAATTTGCCACGGTTGAAAAGCAGAAAAGATCCCAATTCAAGCATGTTGGTAAATCAAGAAGAATTACATAGACATATATAGCAATTTGCTAGAGTTGAGACCATAGATCAGACTTGATCTTGCAAGGAGAAAGGAAAGGGGGAACCTTACAGCTTGTCCCAGTTTAATGTTTGACGATGCAACACAAATCATAACTTAAGTAGAAAGATAATTAGCCGACTCCTGAAAACAATAATATGCAAAACCAACCCTAATCATCAGAAACCAGTAAATGAGAGGGATACAACGAAGTGAACTTTTACTATCTCCACTCACCATCTGAGACTGACTGTTCCTCCTCAATTTCTCTTATGCTTTGCACCATATCAGCAACTGTTTTTGATATATGTGCTGTGTGATTTTCCAAGTCTTTTAAGATCAAGTTCAATTGTTCTTCGTATGCAGCACACCGCCTTTTGCATTTTTGTCTCTCATTGTACAACTCAAGTGACAGCTCACGTATTCTCTTATCCTTCTCATCCTGCAAAATAGAGGATTCTTGAACCATTACCAAGCACTGAGATCAGAAGAAAGGTTACTCAACACTGGCAAAAGATTTAAGTTTTAACATGCTCGATCCAGAACATTAGTGTGATAAAGATGTGGCAGACAATCACGATCATAACCAATGGCTCTTAATAGTGAGAAGGCGATGCAGTAAGGAACAAGCTAGAAAAAATTAGTTTAAATACAAGGATATGCAAGAGAGGAACCCATCACTACGTAGAAAGCAGATCAACTCTACAATGATCTGGATCAACTCCAAGTATTTATATAAGACTTATTCTCACATGATTTCAACAATAACTTAGGACTTGACCAATTGAGGAGTTAACTTCCTTACAAATACCAACAAAAATACCATGGTTATTTTTGAGCTGGAAAAAGTTGATATAAATAGCAAGAACATGTTTGAGAAGTGCTTAAAGATCTTTCATTAGCAACAAATCTAGTTAGAAAATTTGACAAGAAAATCTACCAAAAAGGAAACTCAAAAAAATGGGTAACACAGTTTAACAGTCCCACTGGTTAGTCTTTATTTATCAATAACATCAACATAACAAACATTTCCATGTAAACATTACCATCAGTCAAGCACTACATACATGTACAGGGGATTGATTTTCCACGCCAACAATGAAAAGAGGACCAATATTCTCCATCAAAAGAAGTTTCTCCACTAAGCATTTAAATGAAGTTCTAAGGCGCCCACTTAGTTTAACAGAATCTTTTACTTTTCATCTCCAATTTTACCCTCAATATATATCAAGTAAGATAAATAACTAAATTCAAAATTTCTTGCTTTATACATTTTACGAAAAACTAAAAATCATAAACATTTGTCCAGTTTTCTAGAAAATTGGAAAACAATGGATCCCAATTTAGTTGTAACTTTGGTTCATTGATCAGTTAAGGAGGAAAAGTGGAAATGGAAAAATATTTCTGAAATCAAATGTCCCCTGATGTTCTGTGATCTAGATTGAGCTTGAAATGCTGATAACATTTGAAAATGGCATCAGTTGGCAAAACCAGAGAGAAGTTTGATTCACTAGGTTATAAAACCATGAATCAGCTCTACATCAGAATCTCCATCCATAATTAGGGTTAACTTACAATTTGATGTTGAAAATATGATGACAACTTCCCACAATGAAAATTGTTCTAGTTATTTACGGGAAGAGCCAATAGAATAATTAAGCTTACCAGTTAGTAGCAACTCAATGTTAAAATCAATCCAATTTCAGGGCCTTAGATAGAGCTTTTAATTAGCAAGGGTCAAAGTTATAATGATTTGAACTGCGATGGCTCATTCACTGTAGGATCAGGTTTCTGGTTCCTGATAAAGGACCCATGATTCTTGCACATCTAAAAATATAGACCATAATTCACAAATAATTTAAGAAGTTCATTCAGATATTATACTTAAAAAAATCAATTTCAAAAGTACCTCACCGACTAGATGCTTTCCAGATTCTCGCAACGGAACTTTGTTAGGACTCATCAGTTTATGGTTGTGCCCTTTAACAAATTTGGTGACAACCCACTTTGCTCCATCTCTTAGAGCTAGCCTTATCATTGCTTGGCAGCCCTCTCTGGTGATTGGTGGTGGGGGAAGAACTCTGTCTTTTCTGTGTATATACTTCTTTGCTCGAAATCCTTCTTTAGAACAAACAAAATCTTGACCTATGACCTGATTGTTTACTCGTGATCGACGATTATGATGTATACGTACAGTAAATCCAGTCCGCCTGCCATAAGCAGCATAAAACTCTCGAGCTTCATCCCTTGAGTTGAATTCCATGCCCATGTATGGTTCCAATGCATCAGTAATAAGGGAAAGACTACCACCAGACTGTTCTGCTAATTTCTCATCTTCACTGACACAAAAGTCCAAATTCTTGTGGAGAACATCTTCCATTTGTCCATGTTCTTCATAGTTTTTATCTCTCACGTCTAAATCACTTTCATCTGAATCAAATTCTAGACTAGATTGGTTATCCATCATTCTTCCAACTGCAAGAATTTAAAATCATTCTCATCCATTTCAAAGATGCCGATTAAACATAAAAGTTCAACAATGACATATAGGTTATAAATTTTCACATTACATAAAACATGAAATCAAATATACAAGAAAGAGGAAGATCTTGTTTGAATAGTAAGGAGAAGTTTCCGAAATTTTTAGGTCCAGGATTCTAGGATCACCCAATTGTGGATTTCGTCCAACTTTATATTGGTTTTGGTTAACTGGATCGGTTATTGATTTTAGTCTATTGAATATATATGTGTTTGACTGTAATTGTAAAGTCTATCAGTACATGTAACTTCATTAAAAATATATCCATCTTCCATAAAGGACCGTATAGTTAATCTTTTATTGAGAAGCAAATTGATGAAATAGCAATGGGACAGTGTTATTTTGCAGCAAACCTATACCTGAACTAAGGGTGGTCAAGAATAGCATTTGACTGAATCATGCATGATACTCAGGGACTTTCACATGGAAATTAAATTAGTTTCATGTTTTGCACAAAAGGTACAAGTATTTCAGATATTAACTAAGTAGGAATCTAACTCCCTCAACAGTCTAACCCTAGCAGCCGGACAAGGGCGCATAAAATCCGGCCCTAGAGCTTCCCAGTCAGCCTTAGACTTGTCCTTCCTCATTGCACTGAAATTCCAAGAAAACGCAATGCGGAAAAGGAAAAGAAGTCGGAATCTGTCGAAAACGTGTCCGCCATCAATCCCTTTCTACTCTATAATCGAATGATGCCCATTGCAACCCAACACTAACAGTACAGACTGCTATTTCTTTCTAAAACTAAGTAAAGCTAAGAATACTAAGATCAAAAGCGATTAAAAAGTTTTTGACCCACCCCTCTCATGTAACTAAAATCAAATGGTAAAAGAATGAAACATATTTGGTAGCAAAAACTGAAGAGAAATTAACGATAAGAGAGGTAAAAAAAAAAATAAAACAGCAATGTTGATGAACTCACCGGTACTTTGAAGAAAGCACTGGAAAATGGATACCCCTAAATCAACACTCATCAAGCGATGTCAAGGATGCAAGAGCCATTTTTTTGGCAGTTCGAAGCTGTTCTGGTTTAACGCTCCTCGACAAGCTGGACAGAGGAGAGTACAGAGCAAGAACCTTAACCAAACTTCAGAAAGTAGAAAAGCAAACTGACAATGGTTCTTCCATACTTTGGTAAATGACGTTTGGACCTCGTGTGATTTCGGAATTGTTCGAGGAGCACCATGTAATTTTAGACCTAACCTTAGTCTTAAAAGAGGATTGATCGGTAATTTCAAAATTATAAATGATAAAGTTCATTAATTTCAAAATATAATATGAGATCATTTAATGTTATCAATATTTAGATTAATTTAAAAACTTCTGTTTTATAATAAGTAATAAATATAAGAAAAGATTCAAATTCACACGTAATTTTTTGTTCAGATTGTACTTCTGTTACGAATGTTTTATTTCAAAATCTAAATCCCATGGGCTCAAACTCAAATCGGGACAAATTTCGTATAACTCAATTAAAAAATATATAAATTCGTATAACTTTTGCAATATGTAAGTGAAGGTTATTACTCTTTTCTATTTTGACTCTTTCTACAAAACTAATACACTGAAGTTTAAAAGGAGGATACTATTTAAAAGGAACAAATGGAATTAAGTCCAGCTCCATCGTTCAACTAATTCGCAAGAAAGTTGTCCTCTCCTGATAGTCTGCTTGACGAGCTAATAACGCATGCCGGTCATCTGATCAGAGGTTCCACGTTTTACACATTGGTGATATAATGCCAGTAGGTTGCTTCTTCTGAAGCAAGGAATAGATAAGCAATGGAAAACGTAAATTTTGTATTAACATGAATATTCTTACATATACGAAGAATTCAGATGGTGAGCAGATTGGCAGCCATTAAGAAACTTGGAAAACGAAGGGAACAGATTAACGGCCATCAACAGCAGATTTTCTTTGGGGAAAGATCAACATCTGACTCAATTACAAGCGAGATGGAGGCCGTTGCTTTTGTCAGAGATGCAATGCCATCATCTCCCTGAAGAGCATTCAGTGACACAATTTGGTCTCTTCTGCAACAACTTCCATGGTCCAAGAATCAACTGAATAAGAAAGAAAAGTGTAAGCATCATAAATCAGCCTGCCATGCATAAATGATTACAAAACAAATTTCTCTCCAATGAAGCAACTAGAGATAAGTACAATGGCTGGAAGTAGATATAGTGACAACAAAGAGCACCTTTCCTTTTTCCCTTTTTGGCTTTTATAAAGGATCCAAAAGAGTGCACTAAAAACAAGCCATAAACAAGTTGAACATTTTGTTATTCCTTTGTATACAATTGCATACGAACAGATACGTGTGAGAGGAACCAATACAATTTATTTCATTCTCAAATGTAAACCCACAGTTGAAAGCTGACCTTATCGAATGTAAATGCAGTTGATTTTTTATATTAGAAGAGATGTTAGAAGGAGACTCACCATAGTCAGAAAATGTGGTCTACAGATTCCAGTTCCCTCAGAATGTTGGACACCACATCAACTTTTAATGATAGCCGCTGAGTGTGTTCTTCAACATATTTTAGAACCATCTGAAGCTGTTCTAGATAAGCGGCTGATTTCTTTTTCTCACGATGCAGCTCTGTGGACAGTTCCCGAATTTTAAGATCTTTTTCATCCTGCAAACAGGAGCTAATGTATGTAAGGGCATACTGTAGCATTACATCTATTTAACAAATATGGTTAAAGAGGAGAAAATGCCAGTCTCATGAGAACATAATTCCAGGAAGCTTAGCTGTAAATTGAGTGGCCGTATGTGGAACGTAACCAAATTTCAGAATAATGGGATTATGGCCAAATAACCCAGGACAAAAGGCCACAAAATTAAACAGCAGTTATAACCATACATAGATAGCTGATTGTTGCCAGTTTATGTCTGAAGTTTTCTTCCTTCCTAAGTTTCAAATCTTCAGTTGATTATCAGAGTAAGTAAAGATACCATCCTAGAAACATTTCAGTTAATCACTTTTAAGTTCATATACAGCAAAAAACTCATTTTTGGACCTGGTGTTTTGTAGATTAATGAATTAAAAATTTCTGTAAAGTAAATGCTCTTCTAGTTTTTTCATATCTCTTTCCTCTCTCTGTTATGCCTGCTAATCTCTGCTGACTTCCTATTTCTCTAACTCTATTTCTTATTTCTTTCTAGTCTATATCTCTCTATTTTCATCTCTTTCATGTTCTATCACTTTCTCTTTTGGCTGCATCGAAAGTCAACCTAATTGCAGTAAGCCAAATTCAAGCCTGTTTACTTCAGATGGGCAGCAATTGAAACCTATATGTTCCTCAATCCACTAAATTGCCCAATTCAATCTGTAGCCTGTCTTTAATTGCAAGATAAAATTTCAATCAGATGTGTTTTTATTTTGTTAAGGTACAGTCTGACGTACCAGTTGTGCAAGACAAAATTCCCCTACATATCTACATTCAAAAGTTTTTAAACTAATACATAATGATGAATAATCTAAAATTATGTAACTCCACTGCAATATCAGAAAATAAATTTACAAGTAACCAGCTTTTTCATTCGACTATGTGTAGGTGTAGAAGTAATGTCATATCAAATAACAAGTTGTTAGGAATCATTTTGTTTACAACTTTAGAGAAGCAATATACTAATATTAGCAGGAAAATGTATAATAGGCATTATTTAACAGAATTACTCGCACTAGCCATACCTCACAAAATGCAATCCTATGTGACCTTCGAGGTGGTATTTTGCTTGGGTTCAGTTCATGATTGTGTTCTTTAATAAAACCATAAATAACCCACTTTCCCCCATCCTTTGCTGCTATCCTCAGCATTGCATTACATCCCTCTCTTGTGGCAGGCCGTGATGGGCAAACTCTGTATTCTCTCTTTATATATTTTTCTGCACGAAAACCTTCTTTTGAGCAAACAAACTCTCGGCCAATTATTGAGTTATCCTTAAGAGATCGACGTGTGCGATTGTTCCGTATGGTGAAGCCCATACGCCGGCCATACATCTCATAAAACTCCCTAGCATCCTCTGCTGACTCAAACTCCATGCCTGTGTATGGTTCTCTAGCTTCCAAAGTCATAGGAAAATTTTGATCCAATGGGTTAATCAAATTACCATTTCCATCCACATTACTATCTGACAACTCATCATCCAGCGTTTCATGGCCATCAAATGTTTCAGCCAGCCATTGTCTATAATTTCTGCTTGAGTTAAGTCCCTGACCAGAGGTGCTAGCCATTACAAACCTATCAGAAACCAAGCCAAGATCAGTCTAAAGCAAAATAACAGAACAGAAATCCAAAAATCATTCAACAATCCAACTTGTCTACTGTGAAAAGAAGCAATGGCAACAGTGTGCTATGACCAACAAGCCTAGACTCATCGAGTCAACGGTATTAGACAAGTAAGTTTCCACAGCTCAACGAGATTCAATATGTCCTACAGGAGGAAGCAATTCGCTCTATTGCTCTAAATAATAAAAAGCCTCTAATAACTAAAAAATTATCAAATTACTTAATATGTGCAAATATAGAAGCTCAGTATTTCCCTCCCAAAAAAAAATCTTGATTTGTTTACTTATAATTACTCAACAAAGATTATGAAGAAAACACAAAATATATCAACTTTTTGCCTTACCCATCCCAAACTGTAGGTGGGTTTTTTTTTTTTTTGGTTTTTGGGTTGTTTAACGTGCCAATTTTCAATCAATGCCAAATAACAGAAACCCAACAAGAGAAAAACAAAAATTCTGATAAAACGGGAAAGCAAACAAAGTTAATAAAATCAGTGAAAATGAAAAAAAAAAAAAAGAATTTACCTTGTGTTGGTCCTTGGAGAGAGTTTCAGTTATCACTACAAAAAGCGTTAGAAATCGAAAATTATGAGCTGCCCAAAATGTGTAGAGGAAACAGCTTCAGTTTTAGTAGGTGCAGCCACCATCCAAAATAGATTGGCGTTTACTCAGTTCCCCAAATTCACAATTGAGAATTGAGATAGAAAGAGAATGGCCAAATGGGTAATTGGGTGTGTAAAGAAAAAGCTCAGGCGAGCCAAACTGGGAAATGGGGAGGTGAGAACTCATAACAGGAAAATATAGAGCAGCAAAGCAAGGATAAAATGGTAATCGACATTCCTCATAATAATACACTGTTTTGAATATTAAATGTAAATATTTTGACTTTGGGGTCTGACTTTGATTGGTTTTTACTGATATCAAATAATAAGTACAAAGGTGACAACTTGATGGGTTCTTAAACGTCAATTGTCACCTATGTACATGACACTGGAGAAACCTAACATGGCTATTATTTGTTGTGATACTATGTTTACTTGAAGCAGTCAGCTGTGACCTGTTTCCTAGCTAAGTACTGCTTCTGCAGGCTCATCACATTATAGACTTATTATACGTATACACTACTTTGCTTCTATTGTTGGATGCCATTGCTTTCTTCTTTTCAGGACTACCGAAATTTTCTCTTCAATCCTTGGGGGACCCTGTTGGCTGAACCATTCACACTTCAGCTTTTTTCCGAATATATATTGACTCATTATTTGCCATGTGAACAACTCAGTTTAGTTAAGTTTAGCGTAGCATTTAGGTTTAACATATCCTAAATTACAGTCGAGATTCTATCTTGCACATGATTAAACATGAGAATTTGATTGCACAAATGTGAAAAGCTCAAGGGCTATGGTCTCTTACATTTTGAACAAACAAAATGCTTAAGATCAAATCTTATAATACCGTTACAAAAAAAAAAGAAAAAAGTAGGCTACAACTTATTTACAGAACCTGGGACATGGAGTGGTGTAGAGTCTCTAGCGATCTACAACAAAAATAATACAGTGGTGGGTATTTACCGACCCTTTCATAGATTATCAAGGGTAGAAAACTTATGAATGCTACAAATGACAACTATTATCTCTACATTCAAGCTCTCTGATATTTTGAACTGCACCTTCAACTGTTTTTGACAGGTGCTCAGTGTGTTCCTCAATGTAGTTCATAAATGCACATAGTTGTTCTCGACATGCCATTAACTCCTGGTTTGCATTATCCAGCTCAGAAGATAATTCCTGGATTTTCTTATCTTTGTCATCCTGCTGCATCCAAAAAACATGGTTGATTTATGTAAATCTCGTAAACATTGAAAATTAAACCGATTTTACAGACACACTCATACACAGATACCGGCAATAGAATGTGTAGATCATGCAACCATTCGGCGGATAGAACATAGCAAGCTAGAGTCTAAATAATTCCAGATCTGCCACAAAAAACTGAGAACCAATATATAATCACCAATTGCCAACAAAAATCCTTTTTTTTATCCTTATTCCGGTTATTCCATCTCTTCCATCCAGGTAATAGTTCAAACTTTAAAAATAATTTAGAATGAAGAAATCTAATTCATCTATAAGGCAATTGTTCAATAAAACTAAACTAAGAGCTGATGCAAAGGAGAAGCTATATGCTTTCGAACAACTCGGGTAGAAAGAAAAATGCTCCTTATTCTTAGTGCCTTGCAGTGAAAGTTTTCAAGTTGAAGTGACATGCAAGATCTTTGATGATTTCATTGCTGACTTATGGAGGAAAGGAACACTGGTACAGATAATAGACAGTACAACAGGGGAGATCAGTCTCCATCCTCAATAATAATAGGGAAAATAATCATAATTTATGCTTTAAAACTTCCAGGAAGAATTAGAAACTTTTGAAAACTCACAATTTTCCAAGTTAATAAAGATAAGTACAAAGTTGTCAGTAAATGGACAATTTAAGTTAACTATTAGAAAAATTGCATCCTTAATAAATATAAATCTATTAAAAATGGCACTACATATGTCTTAAAAACAACTAACAGCGCCTAGGCAGCCTTGTCTTTGGGAGCATAGTTGCAAAGCTGGATTATTGTGCTCATGGTCTGCAGAGGCTAATTGAATAAGAAATCCATAATCAAAGACCAAATCTATGGTCCCATTGGATTCATATTATCACAGTTGGAGAGGACTATGAGAACAAGCATAACAAATAACAATCCACAATTTGTAGTAGGCAATGGCTCCTTTTTCACACTGATTATGAACTAAAAGGGGAGAATGGGGGTGGGGGCTTTCAAGATAACGTCTCTGGAGAAAGGGCAAGCCTCTCTGGAAAGTCTATAACTTGGTTGTCAATGCAGTTATTGTTCATGTTGGAAACTCAAATAACAATCATGTACATTACATATACTGCAAAACTTTGTTACATTCTCGGTAGAGTTCGTTTGAACAACCACCGATTCTCAATGAAACATCAAACTTATCCACAAGTCAAATGCTAGGCAGTTGATTCCAAGTCATCAGCCATAGGCAGAGCAAAAAGATGAATAAATAGACACGACAAGATCCACCAAACCAAACAAAAAACATAGTTACCCTCATGAGACTTCAAAAGGTGATGCACACACTTTTTTCTTTCACTGCAGAACATTTAAGCTCATTTATTCCTACTGGCCTTGATATGAATAGAACTAACAAGCACTTCTCCATAAAACTAAGCATAATAAGCAAGGCAATCGAAAATTCACTGTCAACATACTTTTATATCATGATAAATCTCTACTCGATGCTATGTCACCCATAGTTTAACTTGCAAATTAGCAAGAAGGTTTCCATGAAGGAATTCAAGCAATATCTTGATTTTCTGTTGGAACACCCACTATAAGGCTAAGTACAGCAGGAGTGAAACGTGAGTGCAAGTTTAAAATAGGAGCACATGCATAGGAATGCTAAAATTTTCTAAAAGAAAAGCACCTCACCTGTTTAAGTTTATGGAGTGTAAATTATATACCACAAGAAAATATGGTTTTTATATCAGGACAATGCCATGGTCCATAGTCACTAAATCTGTCACTGTTGAGCTCATATATAGATTGAAAAACGACCATACTGATGAGGCAAAGACTTGTAGAATAGCAACAATAGCCTTAAGGATGGTATGAAAAATGAACATTGAAGTAAAAAATATCAGATAACAATGCCTAGCATTGCAATGCAGTGCAGCCTCTTTCAAATGAGTAAACATATCTACACCAGAGCTGTGATAAGGAGTTTGGAGTTTAGTGGGTAAGGAACATATTGTTATACTATATTTGCAGCCAGAACACTAGAAAAGACATCAGCCTAACTCTTTCAAACAAACATGAAGGAAACTTACAGGATTTGGTTGACCGTTTACTGAAGTAATTAATAGAGGATGAGTATGCTCCTTCACAAATTTCGAGATAACCCATCTCCCTGGTTTCTCTCTCTTCACTATCATCCTTGCCATGCATCCTTCTCGTTTGCTCTCTCGCTTTCGAATCTGAACACGTCCATTCTTTTGTCTGTTGAGATTAAAACCTTCTTTGTTACATGCAAGTCGACGATGGATGATTGATCCATCAAGCTCAGACTTACGGGACGAAATAATTCGTGTCAAAAATCCTACCCGCCTAGCATATTCATCATAGAAAGCTTTTGCTGCTTGTACAGATTCAAATAGCATACCCTCATATGGTTCTTGGTTCAGGTTGAGTTCACATAAACCAGATTCATCTCCTGTACAACTTTCTGTAATTAGAAATGTTTCTTCTTTGTTTGTGTCAGCTTCACATACATCAGATTCACTTTCAATACAACTTTCTCTTATCACAATTTTATGATCCATAAGGTTCTCCTCTTCCACTGCCAACCCTGACAAAACAAGTTATCATATGCCAATAATCATGCACACAAACACAAACAATCATAGACACAGACAATGAGAAAGGCTGCTTGCAGAAAAATTAATATTTTTATGGCATTGAGGAAGTGCCGGGTAATCAGCCTTTTTGATAGGCTAGTTTCTTACATTATCAAGTATCAAGGTCTACAAATATTAATACAAGTGAATTGCACTATTTTTACTTTTATATGGCCTAACAAAAGGGTATAACATACAATGTTACTTGACATCATAAGCATAAACTCCAGAGAATTGTTAATAATAACAACTAAATTCACAAATCAACCGTTGTCCATCAGTTCATGTTTTAATGATAATTAAGGCATAGATCCCTGAAATGAAACCATGCATTTTAGTAATTTTAATGTTTCTAAGAACCCCTTATTAATTGGATAAACCACAAAAGGACATGCACATGCATAGGCAAGCCTGCACATACACTTACATGCATAATGCAAAATTTAACATAAAATTTTTCCTTTAGCTTGGAAACAGGGCAAAGAAAAGTGAAAAGCAAAAGAAAATTATATTAATTAAAAGATTTAATTTCTTGTTTGATCGAAATAGCTAAGATTCTTCGTATTTTCTTTTTTTTTTTCATTTTTTTCCTCTTTTCTTCTATCTGTGTAAAATCAACTAGAAATTTCCAAAAACCTCTACTTTTCGTCCTTTTTCCACAGAACCAAACGGTACTTGTGTACTAGCAACAGATAAAATATATATATATATATATATATGAAGAGATAATTATGAACGAACAATTACTCCATTTAACTAAGTCAATCTTTTCAACCGGTACTTGACGAAAAGTCTATTTTCTCGAGAATCAAACAGAGGGATACCACATGCATAACCATTAAAAACCCCAAATTACAAGGAACAATCAGAGAAAAAGGAAAAAAATAAATTGCCAAATCGAATTTAAAGACCATAGAAAAGAACAGCAAACATGAAATAGTTACTATTTAATAAATTTTTTTTTAAAAAGGAAAGGAATTAAAGAAAGAACTTACATGATTTTTTTTTTCCTTCCTATTTTTCGCTTGTTATTATTTGTTTTAGCGTGGCTGCCATTTTGATCAGAGATAAAGCGAATTTTCTTTTTCCTTTTTTCATTTGTCTCTTTTAATGTTTTGTTTGTTTCTTTTTTCTTCTCAAAGCAGTACTTTATTTTTAATTTTAGGTACTTTTAAACATGAAATCACACATTAATCAATAAATAAGTCAAATAATTTTTTTATTAAAATATATTATTATTATTGTTATTAAAAAAGACGGAAGCATATTTTGAGACTGGTACGAGCTTCAATCAATAATTAAATTTATTAAAAACCTTAATTTACTAATACATTTCTCCAATTTTTCAACAATTTATTATTTATAATAATTTGTTTGGTTATTTTAATTTCATTCTTTAATCTAATAAAAACTCGATAATAATGTTAGCATAGGAACATTTGATCCAATAATATATCTTTATTCAAAAAATAACATTCAAATCTTTTTTTTTTTTAAAAAGATTTTATACATCAATTATAAATTTTACAAAATAACCCAAACTATGGTGAAGAAGCCAAAACTCCCAGTCGAAGAAGACCCCTCGAGTTAGAACAGAAGAGGAGCAATAATGGCAAAATTAATTTTTTTTACGTTACCAAGCAAATGCTAAAGAATCATCACTCTGATTTTTAATGGTAACATGACTTTAATTTTTTATCTAAAACGTGATTATAATATAACATTATATTAATTAATATTTTCTCTTATCAAAATAAAAATCATTGTAAAGTAACTTCACCACTCATATTAAAAAAATATTAAATAAAATTTTACATTTTAATTAAAATTTTAAGTAAATTTATTAATTTTTAAAATAAATACTTCATTTAAAAAATATTACATATAAATTCATCTGTTAACTCAGCGTTAATATTTTTATTAATTTAATGATACAATAATATTAAAAAATAATTTTATATTTTATAAATTTTAAAAATTATTATTATATAATTTTTTTAATAAAAAAAATAAAAAGAGCACCTCAATGCTCTGATCTTTGGTACCTATCGATGCTCCTCACGGGAGGGAGCACCAGATTCCGATGCTCCCCTCTCCTAGGCCTTCTCTTGGGGCATACCTTGATTTTTTTTTTTCAAAAAAAACTATATAATAATAATTTTTACAATTAATATAAAAAATTTTAATCTATGCATACTTTCTGTTGTCGTTGTTTTTATTTTTTAGACAGATTATCCATTTCAAATATTAAACAGAGTTAAAAATTAAAATGTTAGAATATTTTGCCCTAGTAACTTCCCTGGTACCAAAAGCTCCCTTAATTCATATGCTGAATTTGAGCCGGTAGGTATTGCTTGAAAGGGTACAAAGAAGACAATAAACAAGCTTCCTTAACTAAAGGCCAAATCAATCTGGTTACCACTAACAAAATTACAAGGAAAAGGTCGATATCATGTACTCTAATGATCTCAGTATTGTGGGAAAGATCACGAATTCATCAATTCCATTACGCCCCTTTTCTGTAGTAAAGCATATAGATTTTCTCTAATACCCCTAGCTTTTCAAGCACAAACTAATCATTTCCAGTAAATAAGAGATTTCATGAACAAAGAGGCACAATCAGGCAATACGGAAAGAGAAGATATGGTACACTCTGCATGCGGAAGCTATCTACCGTGTAAAAGCTCATATGCTTTAGCATCAAGCTTTTTCAAATTGTCCAAAGTTGCTTGAACTTTCATTGATATGTGATAGTTGTGGTCTTCAACTTCTTTCATAAATGCTACTAGCTGTTCACGGTATGATGCACTTAACCGCTTCTTAACCCGCAATTCTGCAGTTAATTCTTGAATTTTCTTATCCTTCTCTTCATCCTGGAATCCAGAAAAACAATAATAATAAATCAGAAATACCTTAAATGGTGCATTGCCAAGGTGTAATTAGTTACCTATGCTAGCTGTATAAAAAGATATATACATATATTATCTATGCTAGCACCAGTCTCTTCAAGCAAAAAAGGGCGAAAAGGGAATGGAACATGGACTGAAACAGTCCTCATTTTGAGGACAATATTGTCATGCATGTTAGCAAGTTTAACTAAGCTTCACAAATTGGCATATGGCATCCTCCATGGTGAATTGGTTACGCCAATTTTCTTCACAATCCTACATGATGGTGTCAATTTGTTAACACAATATGTAGACTGTGAAAACAGTTTGGTGCATTACAGATGATGATTAGAGTTTAATCATTTTTTGTTTCATGCGAAACCTACTTCAAGACCACAAATAAAGAGGAAGGAAGAGGGCAAAGAGGAAGTCTATTGTTTAAAGTTTTGAATCCCACTCTCACACAGGACTAAACCAAAGACCTCCCTTACGAAAATGGAGAAACACCAGCAAACTATTAATGCAGTTCAAGTACAATACAATCTAAATGTTGCATTTGCTAGTTAATATTTATCTAGGACATGAACAATCTGAAAATAACAGTGAAAATATTCCAAAAAGTGAAAATAAACTTGTTAGCATGTATATCCTATTTATCTATCATTCCTATCTTGTAATCATTACAACATTTTCACTTCCAGCAGAAATTCATGTAAAAATACTTAAAAGGAGTGGATTTTCCCTTTTCTGCATTCTTTATACATCTAAGTAGCAGTAATACTTAGATATAAGACGAGGGGGGGAGGGGCACCTCTAACATGCTCCCTCAAACCAGAGATTAAACCCAAGCTCCACTATCAAGAGATAAAGTAAACAACAGATTTTTAAGACAAATAAAATGTGACATACGTAAAAGTTATTTTCACTAATTAGTTGTTGTTTATGGCCTTGCAACATGAGTATCATGTTTAGGGGTATGTAAGGGAACTTAGGCTTCGGAATTAGGAATTACGACCATAAAGCTCATATAAGGACCATAAGCTTGGTAATTAAAACTTCAATAGATTCCCGAAAAGGATTAATTTCAACAATGTCTAAGAAATTTCTTCCCTGTCCCATTCCTTTTGCCCTTTTTCTAAAACCTCAGCCTAAGGACAAGAATTTACTTCCTTTCTCTTTCTATCTTCTATCTCTACCCTTAATATTCTATCATGTTTTTCTTATTCACTTTCTATGTCTCTTAATTCATCCTAATTTAAGCACTGTTGTCATCTCAAAATTTTCCTTTTACAATTATATACTCCAAGAAGCTAGTTAGAACCAGCAGCATCTGTATTGACAAGTGATTTTTATCTTTAAATAAAACAGGAAATTGAAGGAAAATTAGGCAGCACTTCAATGTCTTCAGAAAGAAGAGAGTTTTTAATTGCACAAAACTAAGAGTGGGATTAATTGCAAATTAAATTTCATCACCAAATAAATATCTAATCATATAAATCAGCCTTTAAGAATCCAAGAAATGAACTGCATACTTGTGTTACTGCAATACAGATATACCGAATGGCAGAAACTATACTTTCAAAAGAATGTAGTTTTTTGCCAAAGACATCTGGTTAAAACACCATACATTAAAAAACAGAAGAAGAAGAAATTTCAGATGTTTTTCACCTCAGTGAGCTATCTATGAATTAGGCTTTTGGAAAAAGTTTAAATTTGAATAACATCTCAGAAAAGTCTCAGTACCACAGTAATGGAGCATGCAGTTAATAATGTACAAAAGTTCAAGACAGCCTCTTAAAGTTGCAGAAAGCCAATGGAAACTGTACATCCCTTATCACAAAGAAATAACTGGTTGACAGTATTAAATTTTATGCAACGTTAGTTTAGTAAATACACTCATCCAAGTCCTCCAGCCCCAAACAGATAAATTATCAAGACATATTAACAGAAGTAGAAGAACATAGATAAGACTATCTGCAGAATCTTAGGAACTAAAACTTCACAGCAGATGGCAAGAAAAGAACCACATATATTACAAAGAACGATCTAATGAGGATAATCAAGCACTATTAGGAAGAAAATGATAAGTAATATGTCCAGTTGGGAAAAGGAGAGAACTTCCAAGAAGCTCTAAAGAGAACCAAATAATGACAAAGAACAAGCACCCCAATAATTATAACAACAATAAGCACTGATGAGAATAAAAAATCCCCAAAAGAAACCCAAGTACCAGTGCTCCTATCTATCTAAAATGATTGGTAGATTTCTAACTGACAAAACCAAGTAAAAATCAGTCCAATAGTAAAGTAAGCATTTTCATTTCACTAGTAATTGACCAAGTCATGAAAAGCTTACAAGTCTTCTGCAACTTTCTTCCAACTGAAGCACCAAAGGATGATTATGGTCGCTCACAAATTTCTTAATTACCCATCTCCCAGTCTTATCTCTCCTCAAATGAATCATTGCTGAGCAGCTTTCTCGTTGCTTTTCCTGCTTCTGAAGTTGAACTTCTGTCTGATTATCAAAGTAACCCCTACATCCAAGTCCACGAGAGATGAGTAACCCATCAAGCTCTGACTTATGTGAAGATAGAACACGTGTGAAGAATCCTCTTTGTCTTGCATAATTATCATAAAATATTTTGGCAGCTTCTTCTGATTCAAATATCATGCCCACGTATGGTTCCTGAATTGAGTCATACTCATGCATATTTGATTCATCCCCAGTAGAAGCTTCCAATCTTCCATCTACATCATCCACTAGTTCATCCACCGTTTCATAAGAGAGTGGTTGGAAATAAAAACTAAAATTCACTAGTACATAATATGACATCTAACCAACTTAAACAAGTAGTCAATGGCTAAGAAAGTTATACATCTCCCAGTTACTCTCCTACACACATGGTTAGTAAACGATCACAAGCTTAAACTGCAAACATTTCAACCTACGAGAGAAAAAAAAAATGCACTAATAAAAGAACATGGCATCCAACATGCATAACTATCAATGATAAGGAATCAAATGTGTCAACTACGCCCACCCACTTCCCCTTTTCTTTTTGGCTACGCATATGTCCAGGTAATGGTGTACATTTTTTTGACTCAATAAATCATAAATCTCCGTGTACAAAAGTTAAAAAGGTAAAACTCAATGCATCACTCAAAAGAACAACTAACAAAACCAACAAAACTACTATATAAAGATGGGGAAAAGCTAATTGCAACATAAATTGGTCACTGCTATACTGA